CCAAAGGAGAGGCATTGTCTGAATCTAAAACAATTAATAACAAAAAAACAATGTGGGCAGCACGGAGCGGGGGAAGGTGAGGTGGAAAGTGAGCGATTCACAGGGTTATTTCCAGCTTGCAGAGCACCTTGACAAGATCTCCAGCCACGTACAAAGGCAGCCCTTTAAGCCCACTCTGTCCCCTCCAAGACACAGAAGCCTCATCAGCCCTGTTGTGCAGACAGGGCAAACTGATGCTTCTTTTGCAACTCACCCCCAGTCATCCAGCATCTCTCCCCAGAGCCAGACTGCACTTTCCCGATACCCCAGGGAAGCAGGAACATAACACAGGCCCATGAGTGTGCCATGCATGGCCAGTGGAGCAGGAGAGTCACAGCACCTGCTCGTTGTTGGGCATGCACAAGGGAGGGAGGGAGGGACACTGAACTGTTTGCCCCACACTCAGGGACTCCTCTCAGGTCCTTTGAGAGCCACCAGCAATGCAATGACCTCTGCTCTCCACTCTTGTCAGAGAGGTGCAAAGGGGAACCTCAGTTGTCTGCCTGTGATGAAACATCTGTCTTTTCCCCGTTAGCAGAAGAAACTAATTTCATCTGTGCTCAGGCAAGAGGAATTTGTCCCCTGAGCTATTTCTGCCTCTATCAGTTAAACATCCAGCATAGCCTTTATGCTTCAGTCCTTGTAAAAGACTCCAAAGTCCTCCTGACGCCCAGGATCTGATGTCCCTCACTTAAAGAATCCCCCCACTTTGCACCCCAAGCTGATTCGTGCCTCCACTGGGAGATGGAGGCACCCCAGACACCACTCACCACTGGAAATCTTGGCAGCTGAGCCCTGATAATGTGAAACAGAGCCAACACAGCCCTGCAGAACACCCAGGCGCTGATCTGGTGGGGGGAGACTCCATTTCTACATGTGGTTTAAAATTGATACCCCCATGAGGCATGTTAGAAAGCAAAACATTGATGCTGTCTTCACTGGAAGCATCGGTTGCTTTGTTTTTTTAATGACACAGAAAGCTGCTTGCAAAGAGATAATTTCATTCAGCCTAGCCCTTGCTGGATGTGGAAGGAAGTCCTTGGAGGTGACTCTCCAATGTATCCAGTATGCCACCTAGCCCTCGCTAGCTCTACTACATCCACTGCTGCAGGATGGGCTGATGGATCCTGCTGGAAAGGGGCTCGCAGCATGAAGCTGTGAAAACTTGTTAGGGTTATCATCGCAAGCAAGAAGGCACCGTCCAGAGGAAGAACAAATATCTCGGGAGGAAATCGCATTTTACTTTTGACACTCAAAGCAGTCTCCATGCAAAGTGAAATATCATGTTGATATCTGTACCTCCTGCTGTTGCTCATCTCTCCTTTCTGCACTTCTGTCTCAGACTTGTCCCATAAGTTCCACTTTTGCTGCTTGTCATTTTTTCCTCCAAGAATTGAAGTATTGGCCTTTTTTTTCAAAGCGATGCTTCAGGCACCTGACTTCTCAACTGTTTTGTGGGGTTTAATACTCACTCATGAAAAAAAAATTATACATTCTCCTGTAAATGCATTATTTTACTAATGTGTTTCAGATGTACAAAAAATGGAATGTGGTTTTGAATGGAGAAAAAAAAAAAATCTCACTCTTGTATCTGTGATTCAGCTCCTAATCTTTCAAGGTTGCCTGAACTTTTTTGATGTTCTAAGTGCCTCCAAAACACAGATTAGCCCAAACTGATAAAAGTATGTGTTCCATCCTCTTTATCATATCCAGGAAAGTCAGTGCTTTTGCACATTACAGAGAGTATCATAATGAAGTGTGACATATCTGAGATGTTAAGAACAGTAACTGCTTTCCAAATAATTATTTCTCTTTTGCAGTAGAGCCATATGTAACACTTAGAGCCTATAGCAATGAAATACACTAGAAGACACTAATAGAAACCTTGGTTTCCTCTGAACACTCTCTGTTCACTCCCTCGAAACAAGAAAGCATGTCTTATAAACATAAAACATGATTGTGATCTCCACTGGAAGAGCACAAGCCAGGAGAAATGTGATCTTTGTTAGCTGCAGGCTCTCCTACAGCTCACGATCAGCCATACGCCGCACACTGTTCCGTGGCTTTCTTATGTTCCCAGGGTAAGGGGGGGGAGGGGGGTTAGTGTCAGCAAAAAACGCCATAAAAATGGGGAGCATGAAGAGCACGTGCCAGAGGGTCAGCTGCAACTCCATCCGACTGCTGGGCTCAGTGGTTCAACACAGGTGGTGGCCCAAAGATGCTAGGGCTGAAACTACTTTCATAAAATGGCAGAAAATCTGCCATCAAGGCACATCTCATGGCTAAAATCTTGTAATCTTCTGGCTGAGGATATGACTCAGTTTCCAGGTGAGCTTTTGTGGATGAATGTCCTCGCAGAACAGCCTAGGAACAAAATGAGGGTGGCTGCAAGACAACTTCACACCACCTAGATTTTGGCCTGAAAGCTGGAGAGAAAGTTCCCGGACAGCCCTAAATTAGAGCAGCTTTCCCCGGGATCCCTCACAGGATCTCTGCCCCATGGCAATTCAGCCGTGCCCAAGCCTTCCATGCCAGGGCTTGCAGCTGGGCTTGATGGAGGCAGTTCTCTACACGCCTTACCATTTTGCGTCTCGCAGGTTGGAGTGGGAGTGAAACCTCTCCTCCACCCCTCTGGTACTCTTGCTGTCTCTGTACCAAGTATTAATCCAGGCCACACTGTTTCTTACAGGGTGGTAGAGAGAATGAGGAAAGCAAATTCTCTCATGCCCTAAGCTCTTTCACAAAGTGCATCCAGATCTCCAGGTGAACAGTGCTCGCTCACTCTCTGCCTGGTGCTATTTTCTGCAAAGCACCCATTCAGACCAGTGGCAGATTCTCATAAAAACCAGAGGCAGGATGCAATTAATGTGCTGTAAAAGTCCTAAGTGTCAACTAGAGAAACCATTTAAAAACACTTATAGATAAAATCCCTGAGGGGTGCTTTTCTTACGTTAAAGGTGCCTATTTTTTGCAGTTAACTGTGATCTAAGCAGAGATTCAGTTAGTATTAAATAAAATCTCTGGAAAAACTCTTGGTAGAAAGAAAACAAAAAAAACCCCATACAACCAAGCTTAGAAATGTGGCCTTGTTTTTTGAAGAGCAAGGGGTAAGAACAGAAGGGATTTGATCTTTACTACTGGAGTAGAAAGACAGTAAAACAAGGAACACCTGAGAGGTGAAACAAAAGCCTTAAGCATGGAAATTTTGGAAAAGAAGGAGTTAATGCTTTTAAGCAACCATCCCTTCTCTTACCATAGATAAGGGTGCATTCTAGTGGCAAAATCCATGCAATGCAGCTGCACAGATGACTGATCTAAAAAGAAACCTGGGGAATATGAAGCTTTGGAGGAGTGCGTGCCTATGTGGATGGGGGGTTGACTTGATTCGCATGTAAACTTCACCCAGAACAGGCTGATCCCTTTGAATTTCCCACTGCCCTGGTAGATGCCCCTGTGCTTGCTCTTCTGAGCGGACTCCCACCCTTGGCTCAGCTGGGGTCAGCTCGTACCCCTGCTCCAGGTGTAACCCCTGAGCACAGCTGCCGGGGCGGCCGCGGGGCTGCACACCCCAGTGCTGGAGATTCCCTTCCCCACGCTTCCAGCTTCCCCGCTCCTAGCGATGAATGACAACTAAGGCAGGCAAGTGAGAGGGACCAGGGCCGGGAGAACTGTAACCCTGAGGAATGCAGCGGTGGTAGAACAAAAGACAACAAACCCCAAGCTGCCCAGGACAGGGGATGAGCACTGCAAAGTGCTTTTTTTGTTGCTGTCGTTTCTTTCTTTCTTCTTCCTCCTCATTTTGTGCAGTGCAAGAGGCAGAAGAAGAATGAGCTAAAACGTGCAAATTGGACTTCACATGGCAAAATTCCCCTTGTTTTCTGGCATGCCCTAAGCAACAGCGAACTTTTCCAAAGAGGAATCTAACAGAGCTCTTATAAGCAACCCAGCCCTCCCTCTTGCTCACTGTCCGGCCGCGTTAACCCTTGCTGATTGGGGGTGTCAGGGGTGCACCCTGGCGCTGGGTAAAGTCTCACTGCATTTTTAAACCTAGCCCAGGGGCAAAGGGACAGGAGAGGAGAGCCGGGCACCCTGCACACACAAAGGCTCTTTCCTGGACCTGAGAGTAGCTCCCTGGCAGGCACCCAGCCATCTCCCTCCTGCGCTCACCTTTGGAGCTGGTGGGTGCTGTGCACATTGGCTCCCAGTCAGAGGGTCCCCAACCTTCCAGCTACCCAGGCAGCAGATTGGGGTCCTTGCCCCACCAGCAGAGGAGACAACACGCAGGATCAGGCCCTGCTAACTCAGTGCCCTATTTCCTCCCCAAACTCAGAGCCCTGACCTCTCCCATCCAGACTCCCTGCAGCCCAGGCTGCCCTGCAACCCAATGGCAACCACTTTGCCTTCCCCCCCCCCCCCCTTTAACCCGTGAAGTTCTGAACCTTCCCCTCACCCCGATCGTCGGCTTCCCCCTTACCCCTCCCCCTCCCCTTGTCTCTCCTCATAATATTATCCTTGATCACTGCCCGGGGTTTGAAGCCCAGAAGTCAGGAGCTGCGCACCCCACCCCCACGGCCCGAGAGCGCACTGATAGGGCCCTCGCTGCTGGCACCTAGTCAAGCTGAGGTGTCATTGGGATCTCAAATTGCAGCGAGGGGCTGGCAGGCAGCCAGAGGCAGTCTATTTAAAAGACAGCCTGTTCTGCAGTATTCAGTCTCTTTAGAAACTTCTCCAGGGGAAAAGTGTTGGGAGATCTACAAAGTGGATTTTTTTCTTCCTCTCTTTTCTTTTTTTCCCCCTTCCCCCTGATTTTTTACCGCTCCTCTGCAGACTTTGCAACAAAACACTCCAACTTTGCAGAAAAGTTTTGTTTGGTGTTTTTTTTTTTTTTTTTTTTTTTTTTTTTTTTTTTTTTTTTTTTTTTTTTTTTTTTTTTTTTTTTTTTTTTTTTTTTTTTTTTTTTTTTTTTCTTTTTTTACTCTTTTGGTCTCTTTTTTTTTTTTTTTCCTTTGCAAATCTTGGAAGAGGAAAGCGGGAGAGTTGAACAGAGCCGATCGAAACACAACTTTGCTTCATACCAAGCTTCCCAGCAGCTCGCTGCGTCGGGAGAGACGTTTTCTCCTCCTGCAGAAGAAGAGAGAGGGAAGGGGAGCTTTGCATCCCCTCTTCCTTCTCCTGCGTTGTTGGGGGTTTTTTTGCCCTCTTGACTGCTTTGATGCAATAACAGCAGGACACTGGTTTTCAAGGAACTTTGCTCCCTTCTCAACCTGCCTCCTTCCAGTCCTTTGGGAAGAGTGTGTGTGTGTCTGTGTGTGTGTGCGCGTGTGTGAAATCGCCGTCCCACCTCCCCAAACCCCCCTGCTCCCCCACTCCTCCCCCTGCAACCTGTAGGCTGTGCAACCCCTGCAGGCTTCGCTCCCTTTCCCCCCCTCCTTCCCTCCCCCTCTCTTTTTGCGCTCCCGCGGATCGCGGTGCGAATTCCCCCTTTCGAGGCTAGAAAAAAGCTGAAAGGAGAAAAAGGAAAAAAAAAAAAAAAAAAAGACAAAAAAATCAAACCTAGACGCCCCCACTCTCCTAACGCCAAAAGAAAAGCGGGAGGGTCTCGCACCCGAGAATAAACCTCAGAGTGGGACGCCTGCAAGCAGGGGCTGAGCTTTCCTTTTTGAGTTTTATTTTTTAAATTTTCTTTTTTTCTTTCTTTTTTTTATTTTTCTTTTGTTTTTTTTGTTTTGTTTTCTTGCCCCAGAAGGGGCAAGCGGAAAGCCAGCGCCGCCCACCCCCGGCAGCTCCCCGCGCCCCGTCCCGCAGCATCCCCGCCGCGATGCTGCTGCGGCTCCTGGTGCTGCTGGGCGCCTGCCCGGGGCTGTCGCGGTGCCTGGGCTCCTTCGTGCAGTGCGAGCCCTGCGATGCCAAGGCGCTGTCGCTCTGCCCGCCGCCGCCGCTGGGCTGCGAGCTGGTAAAGGAGCCGGGCTGCGGCTGCTGCCTCACCTGCGCCCTGCCCGCCGGGCAGCCCTGCGGCGTCTACACCGAGCGCTGCGCCCGCGGGCTGCGCTGCCTCCCGCGCCAGGGCGAGGAGAAGCCGCTGCACGCCCTCCTCCACGGCACCGCCGTCTGCCTCAGCGAGAAGAGCTACCGCGAGCAAGCCAAGGCTGGTGAGTGACCCCGCTCCTCCATTCGCAGCCTTCCCGGATGCTTCTCTGCCTTGCCGGCGCCTTTTCCACCTTTTCCGTCTCTCCGCCGGCTTTTTCCACCCCACCGCCAGCTCCCGGCTGCGTTTTCCCTCGTTCCGGGTGCTCTTCCATGACCCTCCGCTTGCTTTTCCGTCTTTCCGGCTCCCTTTCCATCTTTCCGCTTGCTTTTCTGCTCCCTCCCACTGGCTGCTCTTCCCTGCCCCCGCGGCTGCTTTTCCATCTTCCCAGTTGCTCTTCCATGCCCCCGCTTGCTTTTCTGTCTTCCCGGTTACTTTTTCATCTTTTCTCCCGCTTTTCCATCCACACCCTCCCCCCTGCGCTTCCAGCCCCCTCCCCCGCCGTGTGCTTTTCTGCCTTCCTGGCTTCTCCATTCCCCTCCACCACCACCAGCTGCTTTTCCATCTTTCTGGCTACTTTTCTGCCTTTCTGCCTGAGTTTTCTATCTCACACACACATTTACACACCCTGGCTGCTGTTCCATCTTTCTAGCTATTTCCCCATTCCTTCCCCTCCCTACCCCCTCCACCAGCAGCTATTCCAGGTCCCTGGTTGCTTTTCCATCTTTTCCATCTGCTTCTCCACCACCACTTCCCCTGGCTGCTCTTCCACCCCCCTATTGCTTTTCCACCTTTCCAGCTACTTTTACATCTTTCTATCTGTTCTTACACAGTTGCTTTTCCATCTTTGTAGGTACTCTTCCATCACCCCAACTGTTCTTTCATGCCCCCTGCCACTTTTCCTATCCTTCTTTCCATCCATGCTCTGGTCAAACCTCCTGTTGCATCATCTCACAGCCACCCTCCCCCCTTCTATCATCACCTCTGAGTTGTCCCATCCCCAATGGAAAACTTTCCTTCCCCCACTTCCCAGGTGCACCTTCTTAGTCACAGCTGCATCCCAGTCCTTCCCTAGTTACATCCTTTATATCTTTTTTGAATCCCTGTCTTCACCCTCTTCCTGACCCCATTCTCTCCCCCTATCTTCCACCTTGCTCTAGAGTCCGAGCTGACCTCTGCAACATAAAGTACAGGAGAGGGCAGGGCACCTCCTTGCAACGAACTGTCCCATTCCCAAAGTCCTCAGCAACCTGTGGGTTTGTTGCTCAGCCTCCCACTTTCTCCTTTGGGATCATTGCAGCCTGCTCTTCCTGGCTGCCTGCTGCTGGATGTCTTTGTTGGGTGATGGGTTTTAGCCCAGGGAGGTGATGAGAGCAGGTGCATTAGGGAAAGGATATGTGATTGCAAAAAATAACGATGCTGTGGCTAGTAACCAGAAAGAACAGGTTAAAAGCAAGCATGAAGGCAGGCATGGCAGCACAAGTGCAAGGCCAAGCTTCTGAAGTGTTTGCCTCTTGCACGTGACAAAAGCATGAAAGAAAGCACTCCTTCACTTTGGCTCTCATTCCACTCCCATTTCTGGATCTTCTAGCTCATGTGAGGACACATTCCCTATATTCCTCCAAATACATCGGTATTTGCCACAGTATGAAAGAGAGGCAATTAGGGTGTCTGTATGTCTGGGGGACCAGTTGGCAAAAAAAACCCAGAAACAAACCCCTCACTTTTTTGGAGCATGAAAAAGTAATTTCTACTTGTTAGCAAGCTTCTGCTTATACCCACGCAATGGGAATCCGTTTCTCCTTTCTAGCACCTAGTAAATTTTGATGCTTTTATTATTTTTCCCCTCTGCTGCTTGCAGGCAGGGATTGGGTTGCTACACTCCATCCTTCAGAGCAAAACCAAATTCTGTGTGTATAACTTCCCCCTTCCTTTGAATGACATCAGATGTCCAAACTCTCTTAAATCAGCCAGAAACAGCAAAGCTGAGCTTGGCTTTTTGAAGGGAAGCTGGAAGGGATGAGGGTTGGGAGCAGACCTGCACAGGGAGCAGAGGCTAAAGCCAGAAGCCATGTTCCTGCCGTGGAGCCCAGGAAGCAGGGTAATAACCGCTGGCAGCAGAGATATGTGAAGTATCCCGGAGCGCGTCATCCCAGTGTTTATTTACTCTTCATGTGTGTATGCGTGGCCAGGGGCAGGCAGTGTGGTGGGGACGGAAAAGCCATGCCACTGAAATCCAGCAGTGGCTGGGAGAGCAGGGCCTATTATTGCACCTGTGCAAGGGTTCCCCCACACAGACCAAAGGCACCTGAGAAAGCTTTGGCGCTTGGCTCTCAACATGAATCTCCTTTCATTCAACCTGCTTTGCACTTCCTGAAGGTGCTTTGCGTGAAAACTTTAGCCACTTCCCTTGTAATACCGCTGCTTTTGATTTTCTTGCGATGGGGAGCACCTGTTGAGTGAACAAGGAGAGGGATAGGAAAGCGGTTGCAGGTTTGTTTTGCAAAACCAACCCCCTGGCACTGCCTGCACTTCCAGTTTGGACTCCCCAAGCGCTGCAGGGGCCTCTTTTCGGCAGATTTTGTTCGCAGGCGAGAGATGAGCCTGGATTGAAAAGGCTGCTGCAAGAAGCCACGGGAGACCAGCAGGCTCCTCTTGAGATTTGTGTGATTGCAAAAAAGAAATAAAAAATAAATCAGGAATTCCTGAGGACGGGAGAGGGGAAAAAAGTCACTTGGCATTAGACTGGTAGCATGTGAGAACAAAGTATATTTTCATAGGCGTGTTTCTAAGCAACAGGGCAAGGAAAGAAATGAAGTTTAACTTGAACTTTCTGGCCTCTGCCAGTTTGGCCAGCAGCATAGGGACTGTGTGCTGGGGATGCTGGCCTGGCTCTCCCATCTATCAATGACCAAAATTGGCCCTGAGCTGTGAACCGCTGAGAAAGAATCAGCACTCTGCAAAATAAACTATGTGACAGTGGTGAGGACTAGATCAAACTGCATTTCTATCTATTTCTGCCCTCGCGCTGGCCAAGTTTAAAATTGCAGATGCTTTCCTCCTTACGGAGGTGGAGATGTATTGAGCAGTACTGCAAGAGCCCAAGTCTGGGAGGCTGGGCTTGGCTCTCCTCTTGAGCAGATGTCTTGCCTGGGGATAAGATGCTTGCAGGTACAGTGCCTCAGTTTCCTCATACATATGCTGAGCGCAGTGGCACTGAGAAATGCTGGATGTACTGAGCAGAACGTGCTCCTGGTTTGTTGAGAGGTCTGAAATTAAAGCAGATGTGGGATTAGAGGGCTTTGGTAAGGCTCCTTTTAAATAGATGGATATGTAGGTATTGACAGGATGGTCCCTGTAGTCCTTCCTGCCACAAGTTAGACACTGTCCTGTACTGAAAGCCAAACATCACGGCTATAATTGACTGTTCCTGGTAAAAAAACATGAATGAGCTTCATTTATGGCAAAGGCTACAGGATTCTGGGTTTTCTCTGTTTTGTTTAGTTTTCCTTTGAAATATACCACGTCTTTCCATTTTTCTCCCCTGTGCTCCCGCCAGACTTCCTCTTGCTGAGACAGCAAGGTCAGGCCGAGCATTGGGGAGCGGAGGGCACAGACTGAAGCCTGCTGCCCTAAAAAGGCTAGTGGAAAAACAAAAGTTGTCAAATATTTCCTTCTCCTCTCTCATTCCTGCTCTCTTTCTAGAAAGTGAGCAAGACTTGGCAAGTTTCCTCACAAAACTGTGAGCCAACGATAACCAGGAGGGGAAAGGAGCAGGGGTGGGGGGGTGTGCAGAATTGGCCCTAAGAAAATAATCTTTGCTGTGTCAGCTGGAAGTAGGCGGAGGAGGAGCGCTGCTGAGCCCAGATTTCCTGCAGCTTGTGTTCGGTGCAGTCCTTTATTGCTCCCCAACATATTCCCCTCCACCCCATTCCTCCTTCCCATGCCCTTCTTCTCTCCATTTGGGGATGCAGGGCTTCAGGGATGAGTGATGGGGATGTGGTGAGGCAGGTGGGCAGCTCCACACACTCCTCACGCCGAGGGTGAGGGTTAGGGCAGCAGTCATGGGAGCAGGGACACGCTGGCTTATGCACATATGTCACTTGGGGAGGGATCCGGCTGCTGTGAGCGGCAGGTCCTTTGTGCTAAGCAGCTCCCGAAGTGTCAAGGTGAAAGCTAGTATCAACAGGCCTGCAAAACCTCAGATACGAAACAGGAAAATCTCCATTTTTCTTTTGATCTGGAGTTCCAACAACAATATATTAAAAAAAAAATAGGTGAAATCCATCAGGTGCCAGCAAGTGAGTCGGGTTTCTGCGGTGTGTGTGTGTATGGGGGAGGGAGGAATGGGGTGGTTCAAACAGGAAAGGAGGGGCCTTGGCTGGAAGGATTTTTCAGCAGCCTGGTTTCTAAGGAAGGAGGGAGAATATTAAGTAGTTGATCCAAATGAAATTCCTGCCGAGTGCCAGCAGAGTTCACCGGAGAAAAGACGTGGCTCTGTGCTTGCTTGCGTGCGTGCGTGCGTGCGTGCATGAGAGATAGAGCTGGCCCCAAGCTTCCACACAGCCCTGGACCCTCTCCAGGTTAATGAGGGGAGCCCCTCCAGAGCTTGCACCACTGCAGCAGAGAACAGGGGCTGATCTCAAGCTGGAACCTCTGCAAACCTGAGGGATGCTGAAGGAAGTCATTGTGCCTCCTTGTGCCGATACTGTGCATCCTGTGCCCAGACGACCGTCGCGGCTTTGGCACGTCAGTGGCACGAGCAGAGTCATGTGCGACTGGAAGCATTTACCTTACTGCGGAGTGAGGTGTCCCTCAGCCTTGACAGAAGGGGGTGGGAGACCTTGGGTACCTTCTGTGCCAGCTTCAAGACATCCCTCTGGGTGTTTTGTCGCTTGATTTGGCACACGTGTCACAGCAGAGGGGGAGGAAGAAGAGGAGAAGCAGCGCACGGGCGCTGCCTCCCATGGAGCGTGGTGCTCTGCTTCCTCCTAACGTCCGCTGGAAGTTCTACTCGCTCTAAGTCAAAAGACATCGCAGATGTAGGAGCAGCTGCAGGAGCTGTTACAGCAGTAGCACTTCCTAGAACTCTTCATGCAAACTGAAAAGCCTGGGAAGGGGGGT